GCTTCAGCCTGGGCTGCCAGCAGAGCAACAAGGTTTGGCTTGTGTGTTGATTTAGCTTGCAAATTCCAGCCTGGGCAGAAGCCCAATTCCTGTTGCAGTGTGTGCGCGCACCCACTGCCAGACCGCACAGCTGTGACCTCTTCCTCCTTCAGAGCATTTGCTGGCAACTTAAAATAGCCTTTAAAGTTCAGCAGCTCTTGGTGGGAATTTGGAGGCTGAAATTCAGTCTGCCTTAGAGGTTAATCAGTATTGGAGTCTCCTTTCTCCCTTCCCTTTCCGCCATGAGGATAATGAGTTGCCAACAAACATGGCATCGCCGCCGTCTTTGTAGGTGTTCCCATCTCAGGATCTCTAGGGCACAATGCAGCCTCTGTGTCTTATGTTGGAACTAAACCAATCCTGATTCATTTAAGTTAGTCTTCCTCAACAGGATAGTGTCCAATTATTTGAGGTTCCGGCAGTTGTGTCTAGTAGTCTCCGTACAGGATGAAAACAACATTGCAATATCCTACTGCAAAAGTCACACACTCCACATTGTTCGTGACATGCTGCTGCAGTTAGGGCGTGTTGAATTTTTCAGCTTTCCATTTTCAAACATTAGGGGTGCTCAAATGTTTTGACATGCCTTGGGGGTGTAAAGATATCTTTGGTTACCTTAATATAATTTAGAAGTGCTTGGTAGGTAACTACATACATACAACTTTTTAGCCTTTTGTTTCATTGCTGCAACCAAAGCTCCAGTTCTTTTCTATCTGCAGGTGAGGTCACAATTCACATACAAAATGGGAATTTGCATTGATTAGTGCAACCTGCTTTGGGGTCAGTTGTCATTTCCATCCCCCCCCACCCCCCCCAATGCCACTCATTGGGAGATCAAAAGGGAAGAAAGAGAAGAATCTCTAAATAGTTTTTTAACTTGTGGATGGTGCTGAGTTGGTTCATCATAGGGTTGGAAGGAACCATGGAGGTTCTAATCCAACCCCTTCCCCAAAGGAGGAAACCTTATTATATCCCAGGCAAATGGCTGTCTGGTCTTTCTAGAATAGGGATCTCTAACCTTGTCAACTTTAAGACTTGTGGACTTCAACTCCCAGAATTCCTCAGCCAGCTTTGTTCTAGGCGACCTCCAATGATGGAGAACCCACAACCCAAACTGTTCCATTGATTATTTTCTCTCACAGTCAGGAAAATTCTTCTTAGTTCCAGGATGGATCTGTCTTTAACAAGTTTCCACTCATTGCTTCTTGTCTTACCCTCTGGTGCTTTGGAGAATAAATTATCCGCTTCTTCTCTTGTGACAACCCCACAAGTACCAGAAGACAGCTATCATGTCACACACACACACACCCCCTTGCTGGATTTCTTGTTTTTTCTTTGAAGACATTTCATTTCTCATCTAAGAAGCCTCTTCAGCTCTGATAGGATAGTGGGGAATGGAAGGATTTATATGGCAAGTCTTTAAGGAATATAAATCCCCACTATCCCGTCAGAGCTGAAGAAGCTTCTTGGAGGAGAAGTGAAACGTCTTCAAAGAAAAAAACAAGGAAGTCCAGTTGCCTCCTGAAAAAGCACCTTTGAGACAACCATGACCTGGAAGACGGAGAATCTCTTCAGACTCTCCTTTTTGAAAGCCTTCACCTGGGGAGTTGAGCACAGTTCAGATGTGGCTCCTGCTTGGTGGTGAGATCTCCAGAGGATCCATTGGTGGGCATGGCAGGGGAAGGATACTGTAAAATCCCATTCCCTCCCCACCCCACTAACCTGCTTTCCAGCTCCGTTCTCCTGTGTAGGGCAACAAAAGAAGACCCAGCCAATCAGCTGGGACTTGGGAGGCAGAGAATAGATGGGGGCGGAGACAGTCAGAGGTAGTTTTTGCCGGTTCTCCGAACTACTCAAAATTTCCACTACCGGTTCTCCAGAACTGGTCAGAACCTGCTGAATACCACCTCTAATGGCAACCCATTTCTTCACCACTGGTGAAGAAACCATGAAATCAACCAGGGATCACAAGGTTTTTTTTTTACTTTCTCTGTGTATAAACCTTCATAAATGACTGAGTCCTCTCTTTGTCTCGTTGTTTCACCACTTGCTTTAGCTACACAAAGAGCATTGCCACATAGGCACACGAATCCTGCAGAAGATAAACAGCGTTGTTTTTCTCACTTCTGCAAATGAAATCGGAGCTTCTAGTAAACACTTCCTAGAAAGTTTCTACAGTAACGTGACACCGGTAGGCTTTGAGCTCCTGCTGGTGGAAAGCGATTAATATTTATTCTCTGGCGCTGCAATCTGCTGTTTATGCCAGAGCTGGATTGTTGCCCTCTCACACAACACCCACTCCTCAGCCAATGAGATGGCAGTGAAAGACGTTCACACAAATGCGGTGTGTGCTGAAAGACTCTTCCTGGGGGTGGGGGTGAAACAAAAGATGTCCTGATGGAAGGCACAACACTCGGTTCCTGCCTAAAATACTTTTACTCTGATAATGCTGACGTACTGGGGAAGCTCACTGCAATTAAATAAGCTAGAGCCTTGCCTATTTAAAAATTCAGATGACAGGTAACACAAACTGGAATTAAAAAACGATGGACCTTAAGCAGTGGATTTGACCCCTAACTAATTGTAATCCCCTTAATTAATTGATCCCTTACAATTAATTAATAATTGTAATTCACGTAACACTGTCAAACTATTTAGTAAGACTGTATTACTATTATTCTTCTCATCCTTCCTATTATCTATCTCTTCCAACTTATAACTATAACCGTGTCGCTTGTATCTTTACAATTTATACTGTTTTATTTGTTTCCTACTATGATTTGATTGCTTATTAGTAACCTATGACTATCACTAAGTGTTGTATCTTATGATTCTTGATGAATGTATTTTATTTTTTCTTTATGTACACTGAGAGCATATGCATCAAAGACAAATTTCGTGTGTGTCCAATCACACTTGGCCAGTAAAGATTTCTATTCTGTTCTGTTCTGTTCTGTTCTGCTCTACTCTACTCTACTCTACTCTACTCTATTTCTATTCTACTCTATTTCTATTTCTGTTCTATTCTATTCTATTCTATTCTATTCTATTCTATTCTATTCTATT